GAAAGTGAAGAATGCATAGCTCAATCAGGTTGGACTTGGCCTCAGATTTAGTCTCTGCAAGGAGATTCAAAATATATAAGGAATAATTATAATCCCTAACAGAAAGTAGCCAGTGTAGCAAGAGATACATAAAGCACTGTGAGCATTCAAGGAGGGAGAGCTTACTTTTAAGGTAGGAGTGGGGGCCCAGCTGGAGAGGGAAATATGGTTGTGAGAGGAACCCAAATGAAGTCAGTTCCCCCCTCTGCCCCAGCCATAAATGTCCCTACCATATGTCAGCTATAGACCTGGGTTCCCGAAGTCTTTGGACAAAGTGAGGCAGAGGGGATAAGACCAAATACAGGGCAAAGGACACAGCAGGCATGAGGTACTTCTGTTAAGCTGGAATCCAGAGGGTATATAACTCTGTGAAAGAAAACAGGACAAGAAATGAAGATGACGGCCAAGGAGTGGGAAGACCTTAAGTGACAAACCAAGGAGCTTGGCCTTTTATTGAGTAGGTAATGGGGACTCACTGGAAGTTCCCCTTAAAGAGGAGTAACATAAGAGCCGCACTTACAGGAGGTGACTTTGGAGGAGGCTGAACCTCTAGGCAGGGAAACCAGTGAAAAGGCAATGGGTAGAGAGAGTCTGACCTACAGGTGTGGCAGTGGGAATGAAACAAGAGTTGAATGCAAGATAGAGCAGTGGGCTGCAGGAAGAGGGGCAAGTCCTTGAATTATGATGCTCTACTTTACAGATGGAAGCTCGTGTCAGTAAGCCACCATCTGCACCCTCATCCCTTCACCTCCACCAGGCTACTTCATGCCTGGCTCCTTAAAGCTAACCCTAAACATTACTTCTCCATAATCACTTGCATGCCAGCCAGCTCACTCCCTCATGGGTCACTAGTCTTCCTAAGTACGAAGTCCAAACTCTGCATTGCCAAGGCCGACACTCACCCTGCTCACCTTGTCCTCTACTGGGGCTCACCAGTTGTTCCTCTCGTATTCATTTTCCCATTGCCCGTAGAAGTCAACAAACATCTTCTGTAAAGTGCCAGTCAATACTTTAGGTTTTGTAAGCCACGTGGTCTCTGTAGCACCTATAGGTTGAGCATCCCTAATCCAAAAATCCAAAATCCCAAATTCTCCAAAATTTTGAGCATTAATATAACAACCAGAAGTGGAAAATTCCACACATGACCTCATATGATGGGTTGCAGTTAAAATTTTGCAGTCAAATTTTTCTTGCACGCACAAAATTATTTAAAAATATTGTATAAAACTATCAGGCTGTATGTATAAGATACATATGAAACATAATTGAATTTCATGTTTAGACTTGGGTCCTGTCCCCAAGACATCTCATTATGTATATGCAAATATTCCAAACCCCCCCAAGAAAATCTAAATCCAAAACTCTTACGGTCCCAGGCATTTTGGATAAAAGATACTCAACTTGTACTCAACTCTTTCATTGTAATGTGAAAACAGACATAGACAATTCATAAACCAAGGGCATGGCTGTGTTCTCATATAATTTTACTTACAAATATAGGGGCTGGCTGATTTAACACTGAGACCACTATTTGCTGACCCCTGATCTATAGTAATAAAAGCTTTAGCAGGATGTCCAGCTTGCTAATAATTACATTTCCTAGCTTCTCTTGCAGCTAGCCGAGGTCATGTTCTAGCCAGTAGGATAATAGTGAAAATGATCTGTGCAATTTGTACATCATCCTCCTCCTCCTAGGCTAAAATGAGATCTTAGTGAGCCATCACTGACTGTGAAGATGAGGGCAACACTCTCAGGATGGCAAGAGAAACAAGAGGAAAGAAATTTGTCTATTGAGGTACCATACTAGTCCTGAACCACTATGGATCACCTGAACTGTTCTGAGAGAGAAAGAGAGGGGAAAAGCACCAAAACCCCTTTAACTAAGTCACTGTATTTGAGGCATCTTTTTATAAAGATCTACATTTTCAAGTTTAGCTCAATGCATGAGACTGTAATTAATTAGGAAGGGAAACAACTTTGTTCCAGGGCTACAAAATCCCAATGATCAATCATAAACCCACACATTGGGGTCAGATGATGTGGCGTAAGTCTATCATTATCGCAGGAACTAATATCTACAGAGGAACTAATAACTGTGCCACACACTTATAAAATGCAAGTTCTCACTTATCTTTAAAGCAATTATTATTATGATCACTTTTATAGCTGAAGTTCAAAGAGGTTAAGAAACATGCCCAAAATGATACTGCTCCTAAGTAGCTATGCAGACATATAAACTCAGGGACACGTGACTCTCAAGCATGTTCTTTTCCCCAGATCAACTCCCAGTGTCAAGGACAAGCCACAGTACTTTTACTAGTCAATGGCTCTGCGACTCCAGGTTTCAATTTTCAAACTGAAAACTGCCATGAAGATCCACTATTGGCTCCTTCGGTTTAATTACTACTCCCCGTTAAAAAGCCAAGTAAACCAAAATGACACAAGCTTCAATGACTTACCCAGATTCCTTTGAAAGACTTCGAGAATTAATCCAAAATGTGGATTTCATCAGACAACCCTGCTGGCTGCCAACTCAGCCAAGCTACTACCACCATCTCCTCCTTCACTGCCCATTAGAAGTTAACTGCCTGGATACTGCTACATCAGACTGAACAGTGCCTGCAAATGTGGTTGCAAAATGCACTAGCAGAAGAGAAGAGCTTCTCTTCTCTCCAGGAAAGCCTGAGCAAGCCCACCAGCATTTGCTGTTGTTCCTAGTATGTCAGGTGCAGCATCCATCTCTGCTGGGGGCTTGGCCCCCATCGTGGGGAACATCTGGCTCCATTTCACTGACTCCCACAGCCTTTCCCGTCCTATACAGTCAGGAGGCTTAAAGAAAGTCATGTTCATCTGGAGATTACAGCACGGCCAATGGCACCAACTGACTGTAGTAGAAGAACCCAAAATTCTGTTGCAAAAAACTTTCAACTTACTTCAAATTTAAAGTAAAGAACTGTTTCAATATTATTTGCTTTTTTAATTAATGGGATAAAATTTGATGTTTTGAAAACTTCGCTATAATTAACTATAAATAGCTAATTAAAAATTATTAAACTAGTTGTTTCTATACCAAGGATTATACAGTTAAATGTTTGTTTTTGTTACAGAAATACAGCAAAGAATAAATAAATCTATCGAGTAAAGCACAAAATGAACATGTTCTCAATTACTCTTTTAAACAAATTAATTTTAAAGTTAGGAAGGAAGACCTTATCTTCAAAATGGACTTTTTTATTTGGCATATTTTCAATTCTTTCCAGAGCCAAACTACAATGGATACAAAAGATGTAGCCATTTAAAATTATTTTCAAAGACTATTTTGGGATGTGAAAAATGTGCTCACATATATTGTTATGTTTTTAAAAAGCAGGTTTCAAAACAGTTTATAGTTGTTCTTATAAAAGAATAACTATATATCTATATAAATATATATAGAAAATGAGTCTGGAAGTAAATACCTCAACATTTTAAACAGCAGTTTTGCTCTGAGTGGTAGAATTACAGTGATTTTTATTTTCTTCTTTATATTTCTAAGAACTTTCAAAATCTATAACATATCATAAAGCATGTATTTTTTAAAGAACTAAAGTATAAATAACATCTTAATCCTTCCATGTGTTCTGTAAGAGGATGCAGAATGTGGCTTTGGGAATCATGAAGCTATTCTGTGTCCGAATTGTGTATAGAAACCTCAGAGACACACATATTAAACAGCACATTGTCTCAATGATCAGATGGTGGGCATTTCAGAAAGATCAGAGGGGTACCGTTACATATTGAAATATCGAGCCTCTGGGGAGAGGGCCAGACTCATTACAACACACAGCTATTATCCACGTTTTATCTCCACTAAATTGACGTTAAAAATGGAGAGGGGAGTGTGTGTAGCACTCAAACATCTGTGACATATCATTATGGAAGAAGAATATTTCCAGGAATTCTAATTCACAATTACTGCTTTCAAATTGAGAAAACGGCAAAAAACAAATTAAAAAGAAGTGTATGCATGTCACAATTTAGTAATAGCTAAAATCAACTGGCAATCACAGTTTCTATTTCACAATGGGAGTTACTAAAATGATAGAAAATCCCCTCACAATTAGGAAACAGAAGTCAGAATACAGTTTAAACCTGCCCACATTACCCCACCCCCACCCCCCACCTCACCCATCACAAGGAACAATAGGGTCTGAGGCCACGTATTTATTTGCAGATATTGAAAAGAAATCTTAGCTGCTCAAGCTAACAAATCACTGCCTGGAGTTTCACACTAATGGTCATATGATCCTCCAAGTGCTGTTTCTCAGACTGTATCTTCCTCTGACAAACAGTCTCTTCTTTCATAAAGCCAACAGATCATCAAAACAATGTAAACTAACCAAACTCTTTTACTTTTTAAATGATGGAACCTCTTAACAGAGCAAAACAGGACTTTTAAAGACATATTTCGGGGAAAAGAAAAGGTAGGGAGTTTCAGGAAAATGTCTGATAAAATTCCACTGCCTTTCCAAAACAACAGAAACATAGTTTCCCAAGCCCCAAATACAAAAGCAGAGTAAAACTAAAAGTATGTACTTCAGTTACACTATTCCTGAGGGAAACACACTTTCACTTGCTGTTTCAATGAATAGCAAGTGAAAATACTTTCTCCACAGGGTTATTTCATTTACAAAATAAAATAAGTCCCCAAATATTTTGGTGTATATACAGAAACTACAGAAATATACAGCTTCACTGGGAAATTCTAGATGCCTTAAATAAATAGTTCACTGAAGAGATTTTTCAACAACGAAACAATGGAGAAAGATGCATAACAAAAGAACATTAGTCACTTTAACCAAAGAAGCAAAAAGGACAGCCCAGCAGCATAAAGGTTGTAGAGTAAGAGAAAAAAATATTACTAAGATACTGAGGACGATTCTTATCTATGGGCATAAACATTACAAAGGAGGCAAACACACCTTTCATGTGGGCTGCCTAAAAAGGCAGCTTCCCCGCACTTCTGACTCCAACATCCTGTTCATGGCTAGAGCCTAGGAAAGTAATATATGACCTCAGTAATGCTGGCCTGGCCTGCACCCAAGTCAGTGACTTCAACTGCTGCACATTAATAACAAAAGCCGTACAGAGTGGACATGCAGAGAGAGTGGAAGAGATGAAAGGCTCTAGGGCAGGCTTCTCAGAGCAAAGCTATAATATCTCCTGTAAAAGAAACCGGCCAAGTACTGTTCAGAAACAAGAGCTTCCTCAACTGAAAATACCAGTTGTCTTTAGAAAGCCTGTAGTCTTTCCACACAATTTTAAAAAATAGTCTGCGCTGAACTTTAACAACAAAATGATCCTCCCCATAACAGACTAGAGCAAGCACCAAGATGTGCTTGCTACGTGCCAGGGACTGTTCTAAGCACTTTACACAAATTAATGCCCTCAATCTCCAACAACCCAATTAGGTAAATGCTATGAGCCTCAGTTTGCAGATCAGGAAATTGATCTGAAAGAGACATTTCAAGATCACAGAGAGTTGGTAGACTGGAACACAGGCTCTTGGGCTCCAGAGGCCAAGGGCTGAACCACCACACCAAGCCATACCATAGTGATCCTCCTAGAACCTCCAGCCTGCCTGCCTAACACCTCAGGGAGGCCACAGACACTGCAACTCCCAGAGCTGTAGTTCTGGGACTGCTTTATGGCTGCTCCCTGGATTTGAAGGGAAGGGCAAGAAGCTCACTTTCGTTGAGTACCTATTTGTGTCAGCCTTTTCAGAAAAGGCAAATGCTCTCATTTATCATATGGTATAAGCATTATTATCATTATTCCTATATTGCAGATGAAAACCAGATTCTGAGGGGTTCAGTAACTTGCTTAACGCTACTGAGAGGTAGTGCTGGCATCTGAACTTGAATCTGTTTGTACGTGGCTCATTTTCCTGCCACTACAGAAAGTCCTACCTCCTCAGTCACAGGTTCATCCCCTAAAAGGGTGACTTATCCAACAGCCAGAGATGATCTCTCATATTTCAACCAATCATTTTACAAATGAATGCTGCTTAGGCTACCGGGAGGAACATGGGGAGGGAGGGAAGACAGGTCAGTAAAATTCCAACAAAACAGCAAAAAAACCCACTCTCAAACCATAGGAAATTCCCACAATTAGTTAAGAGAAAGCATGTCTGGTGTGCATATACTTGGCACTGCTGCAAGAACTACGGACTGTAAATATACACAACTATATATGTCTGGTACACATAAACTAAACATCTGCAAATCATATTACATTTTAAATGCACTAGAGGAACTCACTGTTGAAAAGAATTCTGCGGTTAAATTCCTTTGTAGAGTCAAAAGTTCTTTTGTAATAATAATCCTCTAATTTACTGTCTTTGCATTTTCAAAAGCAGTTATATTCCATTTTAGGCAGACCTACTAGATCGGCGATCCTCAACCTTTTTGACACCAGGGACCAGTTTCATGGAAGACAATTTTTCCATGGACCAGGGGTTAGGGGTTTGTGTAATGGGGGTGTTACAGAGTTCAGGCGGTGATGGGCCCATTTCCTAACAGGCTGCGGACTGGTACCGGGATGCAGCCCAAGGGTTGGGGACCACAGTGCTGGAGTATATAATAACCCAAATTATTTTACATAAGCTTGGGATGTAGTTCTGCCTTAAAATTAAAGAAGTGAACCATTATATATTTCCAGACCCATTCTAGCCTGTGGTTCTATAAATTGCTAAGTTGCTTGACACATCAGCATATAAATTAATTTGCTTTTACAGCTTAGCCAAGAATATCTGGAAATAGAAAGAATAGAAGGGATCCAAAATTTGATGATTAAAAATTTTAAAAAGTATCATGAGACTGTGACTCAGAATATACAGATATGGGGGTTTTAAGATTCAATCTTCTGGATTATGGATAAGAAAACAAAGGCCCAAGAGTTCAATGATTTTCTTCTAAGTCTTAACCAGGGTATGGAAGAAATTCAGTGGAAGAAATTAAACTAGAATCCAGTATGCTAATACTCAGTTCAATGCATAGTCCGGAATGGGCTCCCCCTATTGACATAACATTATTACAGAGTATTGTGAACTTCGAAACAGCAGAAATTGTATTTCTAGTTGTCTCCACAGTTTCTACAAATTGTCTTGCTTAGTAATTATTAGAATATCACTAATTCTGCCTGTGGAGGGCAGGAGGAATCAGGGGCGGTTGGTATACTAGGCTACCTCCAACTTCATTTCTAGTCTTTGCACACTGTTAGATCCTAGGGTCTCAGCATATAGTTAAGCTAACTCAGTGGCAACCTCACACAGAGAACAGAGAGGCGACAAGATCCACAAGAACTGTCTTAAGGGTGTGTCCCATGAAAGGACTCAGCATTAGAAGGCAGGGGATACTTGCAAATCAGTTAACCTATCCAACTTAAGATTTCTCCACTCCAAAATTAATAAATTGCACTTCCTGGATCTCTAAGTCCTCTCCCCACATTCAATGCTGTTATTCTGTTTCTTGATTTGTATAATTTTGACACAAAAGTAATACTTTAATATGGCTTTTTCCATTTTCCTCCCAACCATCCTCCACCCCCCTATGAATAAGGCAGGGAATGGGGAAGCTTTGGTCTGCAATTGCAGCCGAGTCTCTCTTTCTTCTAACACTGCTTCTACCAGAAACGCTCCTTGGGTTTGGGGGGATTAGGCTTACAGCATATCTAGTTTTACTCCTGGCATCAGGGAGGGCCTCCAGTCACCTCACAAATCCTGTTGGGAGGCTGTGTTCCCTCCAGACAGGCTGCCTCTGTTTGGACTCTAATGAGACCTTGAACAGAAGACCTGGTCAACTGCAGGGCCTGGCGGCATGGGGCTGGTCTGAGGCCAGAGACACAGGTCAGAGAGAGGCCAGGGCTTGGAGTGTGAGCCCTAGTCTGTAACCTGAAACTTGAGAAGGTGATTAAGAAAGAGATATTCAGACAAGGAAAGCACAGGAGAGATTTGGAGCCTAGGAAAATGAGAACTAAGAGAGAGAACACTTTGAAAGTTCCAATCAACTGTCTTGAAAAAGCAAATATTTCTGTCATCTATGGGAATGAAAATAACATGCACTTACTATATTCGTGAGCTAAACAAGACTCTACTAGATTGTTCAACATAAACACTTTTGCTCCTAATGTAGGAGCGTCAAGAAAAAGAAAGGCCAGGACACAGGATTTTCATAATTTAGGAAAAAAACAATGTGTATTATACATTTGCATAGGACTTTACAGTTGACAAACTTTATGTGCAAAATCTACTCTGCTCTTCACAACCCTTCATGACATCTGAAGAAACTGAGGCTCAAGAGGATGATTCACTTGTCCAAGATACCCAAACTGCTAAGTAGCACATTTTCAGGGGCACCTGGGGCTCTTCTACCATACCACCGAGTCTCTTGAAAACTACTTTTCCTCAAAAGCCACTTTTTAAAAGAAATAAAATTTATTCCTTACTCCTTTTTTAATTTTTTCGGTTTTATTTAATTCCTAGCATTGAAACTACAGGTTTTACATCATTAAACAGTGTTTTGACAGGCTATATATATATATATATCACTGCCCGTTGTACTACAAAGCATGCTAGTAAATGATGGGTTAAATGATCTTTGAAGGCTACTCTGAAATATGTCCGCCACATATACTGTACTATTGTTTCTATGGGAAGCTCTGTTCCAAGTTCCAATCAATTGACTTAAAAGGGATGGTTTGGAACACATGAACATGGCTAAAAATAACCACCACTGCAAACTTCAGAAATTTCTTATATTGCACTTTTCTTTTTCATTTCTTTTAAACATATGCAGACATACAGAGAGATTGTTTTCACTGAGCAGCGTGTATGGTATGAAAAGCTAAGTAGTTCAGTATAATAGAAGACATTTCATAAAACTCCCACATGTTATGATGGTGGATTACATAAAGAAGTGGGAAAGTCCCCTCTGCCCCAAAACAGTGCCAAGACATCTGACATGCTCATATCTGCCAGGACTCTACAGTTATTCAACACAGAATCCATTTTTTAGATACATCAGCATAATACTGCAATGATCCAAAAAGTTTAAAAAACGGACTTCTTGCCAGAATAATTAACTTCTTGAGGTCCTCCAAAAGATACATTCTGAGAAAAACATCTCCCTGGCCAAGGGATTTCAAATTTCAAGCAGAGTGGCAGGTTTTCGGTTAGGAATTGTCAACAAATCACCAACCAAACACGGTTTAAAGTTTTTCCATTGAGAATCGAGCCGCCAAGTTTAAGACACAGAAAACCCCACCACCACCGACAACAAAAACCTAATTTACGAAAGAGATAAATCGAAGCATGGCTGTCACCACCCCGTGTCTATTAAAGAAAACGGGTGACCAGGAACATTAGGATAAACTCAATTAACAAGTTTTCCTGATGCTTTTTATATTACTTGACTTACTGAAAATGAATTTATCCACAATTTCTCAGAAACATTTCTGTTGTATAAGTTCAGATGTGACTATATTTAGCTTAAACCAAACCACACCAAAGAAAGGACCATCAGACTACATCTAAATATTACACTATCAACCAAAAGTTCTGGGGGAAAAAAACAATTCCCTCAGATTTTACTTTACCTGAAATAGCAGGTATTGTGTGATCCGGTGGCTCTATATCCTGCCACTTTGTCTTGCGCCCTCACTCAGTCCCTCCAGCAGAGTCTTTGAAAAGACAGACTGAGAATGATAGGGATCAAAACAAAAGCAGCCTACATGCATGAGAAACTCTGAATTGCCCAATTTCAGTCCCAAAGCGTCTCAGTCTGCCAATCCTCTATAATTTTTGATGAAGTACAACATAAACCTGTTTAAAACTGTTTGTAATCAAAAGGTACAAAGTGTGAGAACGAAATTCTCTTGGTTATTGAGATGAGTCTTAAAATAACCACAAGCAGCTAATATTTAATGTTCTTACCTTTATGTGAGAATTCTTAGTAAGATACAAAATGCCCTTATAAAACATAACAACCCACAGTAGAAATATCTCATCAGATTATTTTTCATCATTATTTCTACTTTCTAGATATAAAAAGTAATTTTTTGAAAAAGGCAAACTATTGTTACTTTAAATACTCTTCTGTCTCTTTCTTCATACAGGTACTTAAAACAGCCTAACATGAAGCCCATATGGCTCCCACAGGGCTGAGTCAGGAAGTCAGCCACGTTCTAGTGAATCTGTTTTACTCTTTTTAATCTGAAAAATGTTTAATATACACCTTAAATTCCTTTCTAGTGGTGTGCTGGACATTAGTTTTTCTGTGATGTAAATCAGCATACCCTCACTTACCTATTTCTACAAGTTCATGCTTTCTTATTTTGAGTTACCTGAAAGCAGACACATATTCATGATCTGCAAAACAAACTTAAAACAAATAACCCTACAGTCCCCCACACAGTATTACCTCACATACTTGTATTTTTTTCTTTTTCATATTCATTAATTCCCCTGGGTCACAGCTTCTTCAGGTATCAAAGGGGTGAGTATGCTGGAGTGGGGGTGGGCGAGGAGTGCCGCGGGACACAATACGCTGGATGATTTCCAAGTTCCCTTCCAAAGTCAAATTTGTTATTATTTGATCATTTCTCTGGTCTGCACTTATCCCAGACATGAGCTCCTGTACAGCAATGGCTTTCAACTGGGGGTGGCCATTTTGCCCCCAGGAGACACCTGGCAATGTCTGGCGACATTGGCGGTGAAGTGTGCCACGGGCTTCTCGTGGGTAGAGACCAAGGATGCTAATTAGCACCCTACCATGCACAGGGCAGCCCCCACAAAAAAGAATCAGCCAGGCCAAAATGTCAATAGTGCTGAAGCTGAGAAGTCCCACTGTAGAGTAACAAGCTTGGGAAACTAAATATTCAGAAAATTGTAGAGGCCATTTCCTAAAGTATCTGCTGCTTTCATATTCCTAAGATAGGCAGCTTAAGGGACCTTCAACTCCTAAAGAGGAAGCAGAAAGCAACTGGGCTTATTCACAGCTCCCTTTCTTCCCCATCTCCCTCTTTCTCTCATCCAAAGCTACTAAATGATCAATGCTGGGAGGCAGACGAATCAGTAATAGTCCCTGCCTTCCAAGTTCCACCATCTAGTGAAGGAGACAGAATGATCTCCTTACTACCAGCATGGCACATGCTCAGAGAGAGCAGGAAGCAATGGACTTGAAATTCATAGGTTCAATGGACTTGAAATTCAATGTACTTTAGAAAGTACATTACGTATCAAAACTGTATTTAATCAGCAGATATTACTAAGAAACCTTCACTGGCAAGTTTTTAACCAGATCAATTCACCTAGAAAAGTTGGTCATATTAAACAAATATGTTTCCAATTTACAATGATGAAAGTTGTTCCTCAGTCATGAATGTGGTCACCTCTATCCTTCTAAGGGAGCATATAATCAAATGGTCCTCCAAGAAGACTAAACGTATTCCAAGGCTCATTGGGTTTACTGGCCTTACAAGTCATTCTAGATTCTTTTTTTTTTTTGAGACAGTCTTGCTTAATTTCCCAGGCTAGAGTAAGTGCCCTGGCGTCAGCCTCGCTCACAGCAACCTCAAACTCCTGGGCTCAAGCAATCCTCCTGCCTCAGCCTCCCCAGTAGCTGGGACTACAGGCATGCGCCACCATGCCCGGCTAATTTTCTCTCTATATATCAGATGGCCAATTAATTTCTTTCTATTTATAGTAGAGATGGAGTCTCACTCTTGCTCAGGGTGGTTTCGAACTCCTGACCTTGAGCGATCTGCCCGCCTCGGCCTCCCAGAGTGCTAGGATTACAGGCGTGAGGCACCATGCCAGCCTCTAGATTCTTTCTGTAGGGAAGGTGAGTAAGGAAGGCCTAGAGGTCAGAGCAATGACTGCTCAGTGGGAACTACTTGCTTTCTGGGATACTCAGGGACATATCCAAGGAAGCCATATAATTTTTCCTTCAAACCAAGACACTTTTGAAAGTGATTTTTCCAGGACAACAGTATAAACTAGGACAAGTGTCCATTAGAGCCATGGCTACTATGGCAGCACTTCAGAAGCATCCTCAGTTGGACAATGATGCCCACATGAACCTTGCAAATAGCCACAGACAGGAAACATAAGTATGAGTGCTACTTTTTTAGTCAACTAAAAATCACATGGAGTCGAAAGCAAAGAAATTTGACACTCAGTATAAAAAACACACAGAACATACTCAAGCAAATGCCAAATCTAGAAAACATGAACATACTCTGTTTATGAATCTAAAGTATAAGATTCCGACAATAGTGTGCACCAGATGGGATTTTGCCTTTTCTCTGCAGCGCATGAAAAGTAAGAAAAATTGTTAAACAGATTCTTTTCTTTAAACTTGGCTAATATATCCTCCAATCAGCACAAGCACATTTCTGGTACTTGTAGCCAATATAAGCCATCAGTTACAAGTCACTTGACTGTACAAGTGTGGCATGTTTAACCACATTCTGGTCCATGGACACTCTTGTACTAGGCAAGAGACAGCTTTAGTAACTCTTCCCTTGGGAGTCACACTAGCAGCAAAGAGTATAGGCTCTTGGGCATCCAGAAAATCCTATAAAAACAGACACCAAGCTCCTTGGAAAACAAAAATATTCCCAAGAAGAATAAGGTCAATAATCTCCCCGTCTTGACTCCAACATAAATAAGGTGTGTTTTAAAAAAAAGATAAAAACAGGCCGGGCACGGTGGCTCATGCCTAGCACTCTGGGAGTCTGAGGCAGGTGGATGGCTCAAGGTCAGGAGTTCAAAACCAGCCTGAGCAAGAAGTGAGACCCCTTCTCTACTAGAGAGAAATTAACTGGCCAACTAAAAATATATAGAAAAAATTAGCCGGGCATGGTGGCGCATGCCTGTAGTCCCAGCTACTTGGGAGGCTGAGGCAGAAGGATTGCTTGAGCCCAGGAGTCTGAGGTTGCTGTGAGCTAGGCTGACGCCACGGCACTCTAACTGGGGCAACAGAGTGAGACTCTGCCTCAAAAACAAAAACAAAACAATACTGTAATCTTACATGAAGTTGGCAAATCAAAAACCAAATAAAAAACATGAATAATGTTTTGGGCACATAACTAAGACTGAGTGCAAGAGAGATTTCACCTCTGCAAGGTCAGGATGGCCAGACAGAGCCCAGGCACAGCAATGGCAGCAACTGCGGCAACACGGCCATACTCCCACTTTCTTTTAATCTTTATCAAAAGCAAGACAAAAATCCTGGGAAAGATGATATAATTTTCACAAAAGTCAGAAGGCAGAACTATTCAACTTCTATTTTACCTCAATGTTCCACATTTGATCAAGGGAGGGACTTAAAACTGGAAATGGTGACCCATCCTGGAAAGCAGGGGAAAGGCCACTTTAGATTTTAGCTTCAACTCATCCTATGGAACAAACAGCCACTTCTGGCAAGCTCTCTACACATAAAGGTAGAGATTCCAGAAAAGATGAAAGGGTAAATGAAAAAAGGATAAACCACAGATAGGCAAAGTTGGTACTGGGTCAAACAAAATTCTACCTTGGGTTTTTAAGTAGATGGATTCTAAAGACTGGGGGCTGTCAGAGAGCGGCAACTGCTTATTTTACTTCAAATGTCACGTCAAACTATCCTTACGTGTTTTTTGGTAAGCCTGGTATCAGATGGAAATGCCATAAACAGAATGCATCTTTATTTTTAAAAAATGTTTGGATACAATGAAGAAATGTAAAATGGATGACCTAGTTAAAGCTATTCACGGTTATTTGAAATGTCATCCTACAACAGGGTTAATTATTTGATCTGCTATAATCTGAAGGAATGGTTGGTTGCCATTAGTTTTTTTAATTAAACAATTACATTAATCACCTAGATGAAGTTTGAGAATGTGCTTATTAATTTTGTGGATGACATTAAAGTTAGGTGACATAAAGTTAGATGAAAGACAATATTACAAAGGATATTAATGTAGAATAGTGCATAGATAGTGATGACATTTTCATAGATGTTGGGTACTATATTTAAGTATATATATAAATTGTACAAACAGAAGTTCTGGAGACCTGGCTTACCAGTACTTTCAATAAGAGTCAGAAGTAACATAGCTGTTTGTTTAAAAAAAAAAAAAAAAAGACATTCACTACAATGCTCAGATGCATTACTAAAATTAAATAACCAGATCAAGAGAAGAAATAGTCTAGTAGGCATTACCCAAGTAGAAAAACCACATCTGGAGAGATGAGTGAAATTCTGGGAACAGCATTTTAAGAGGAAATAAATTATCTGGAGAAAGACCAGGACAGTAAAGAGTATAGAAATCATACCATATGAGAAACTGTTGACAAAACTGGAAAGGTTTGGCCCCTAAAGAACATTACATGGAAATATGATGGCTTTCTACTATTTAAAAGGCTATAATGGGGATAGTCCCTGAACAAATTCCAGTTTGTCAATGTCTCTCCAAAATGTAAATGTGATACTCCAGAACCCGTAGGACAATAAGAAAGCAAACAGGAACACTCTGATGTTGGACATTCTATTCACACAGCCTATGATGGAATTAGGCTTTTTGGCAACTGCATTACACAGTT